ATTCCTATGACTAATTCGTTGAAGTTATGTGTTAAACTTGGAAGATTTTGAAGGAGTTTTTGTACTGTTAAGAATATGGTATGTTTTTGTTTTTAAATGACTTTGCAGCTGTGATTTTGAATATTTCATTTTCTAAATTTAAATAAACTCAGATACAGTTTGACACTTAATTTTAAAAGTAATTACTACTTACCAATTTTGAAAACGAAGGAGAAACAAACATAGGGTAAAAACATTTAAATGTTACTTTCAAGAGTCTACAGTAGCCCAAAAATGTCAGAAAATGCTTAAATAAAGGAAAAATATTACAGTATTTTGGACAGAAGGAAGAACAGGGTGGTGAGATCAGCAAGCTTGGAGAGATATTTTAATAGGGTACCTTATTTTTTTTTTTGAGTAAACTAAAATGTTACTTCCTAAGGTTATTTTCCTTACACATATATCCCATTGGAAGTGGGGAAAAATTAACATTTTCAAATGATCTAATATTCATTATTGTCACTAGTTTACCAATAAAGGAATTAGTTACCACATATCAGACCATTCTATTTTAGATTCTGTCGGACTTTCCTTAGGAATGTTTCATGTGTTGTGCATAAACATAAATAAACAATATAAATTATAAATTTTCTTGTGGTCTTATTCTCTGTACTGGGCAACGTACTGGCTGTAAATTAAAAGGTGATGATTCTTGGTCCCTGGTACCTGTGGGTAGATATACAAAGGTGAAAATTCACAAGGCTTTAAGTATCTTAGACAGTCGAGTGGTAAAAAACATAAACAAATCTTTATAGTATAAAAAGATAATTGCTTAAATGGACCCATGTACAAAATACTGTGGGAGCATGAGAGGGTCACTGAAGTCTCGAAGCAAATGGCTCAGCAAAGGCTTCACAGTAACTTTGAATCAAAACATGAAGGATGTTTGCTAAGCAGATAATCAGAGAAATGATGGACAGAAGGAACATGTATTATTGCTTGGGCTCGCATCTTGGTGTTTCACATTATTTATACTGCTGCAAATTCACTTATTTCTTGACATGGCATTTATTGCTATTAATATCAGCCAAAAATATGTATTGAATACTTAGAACAGGGTTGGAAATTTTTCTAGAACCTGTGGATATAGCTGTGAACTAGATGGATGGGGGCCATACCGTCATGGTGCTTAGATTCTACTTTAGGGGAACAGAAAAGTAGGTATCAATGCCAATGTTTTGATGACCGTAAAATTGGATAAAAGTATGTAGTCTAAGTTGGGATGCAGAGGAGACACTATACTTTCCACATAGGAACTCATATAATCTTTAAAATAACTTTGTGAGGGAGGTGTTGTATTATAGTATCCCTATTTTACAGATAACTTTCCTAAGGCATAGGAAAGTTAAGTAACTTGCCCTTGAGGTAATAAGCAATGGAGCTGAGATTCTAACTCAGCCATCTGGCTCTTGTATCACAAACACTGTGGTTATAGTGACCTTCGTAAGGTTTGTTGAGTGAACAGATCCTTAGTTGCCAAATGTTTTAAGGGTTAACTTTTGCCATGTAGTGCTGGGTTTTTAAATATGTAATTCTTAACTTTGATTATGGCTTTAATATAACTGATAACATTGCTTTCTTTAAAAGAAATTGTTTTAGTGTTTGTTTATTTTTGAGAGAGAAAGAGAGAGACAGAGAGTGAGCAGAGGAAGGCAGAGAGAGAGGGAGACACAGAATCTGAAGCAGGCTCCAGGCTCCAAGCTCCAAGCTATCAGCACAGAGCCTGACGTGGGGCTTGAACTCACGAACCATGAGATCATAACCTGAGTTGAAGTCGGACTCGACTGACTGAGCCACCCAAGCACCCTGACATTTCTAGATGGTTTTTGTCATCAAATGATGTCTTAGTATTAGGTTGTGTCTCAGTTGTCAGATATGAATGTAAAAGTAATTATAATGTTTTTTAGAGGTCTCTACAACTACATTGTAGAAATAACTGCCATGAGTTCTTCTCCCTTTTGTTGATAGATAACAATCTATTTAAATAGTTCAGTAATTTTAACATCACAGGGCAAGGCTGTTAAGGTTAGTATGGGAGACAGATGAAAAATATGCTAAAAAATAAACTTGGTACTAAGTCCTGGCAATGTAAACATGTATGAAATAAATCCACTGTCCCTTGTCTTCAGACCAGAAATTCAGCAAGTCTTGAGAACTAAGAACTTTTTTAAAGTTGGCTAACCCTAACTCTAACTGACATAAGATAGTTTTAGTATTTATCTGAATAGTCCTATACTTTGCTGCAAAAATATTAATGTATAATGTCCTGGAAGTGTTCAGTTATATATATATATACACACATCATATTACTTTTTTAAACTCCATAAAGTTCTGAAGTCAGCAATACAGCTTTCTGCAAAATTGTGGAACTCCACAATTTACAGCTATCACCCACATACAAAAAATGGAATACACTTTGAAATGTCAAAGTAGTCAAAGCCTTATCTTAAGTCTCTGAGTACATACATATTTAAGTACTTTAAAACATACCTTATATAAATGAATAACTAATTTTACTAACCTAGTTATAGGCAGCTCCATATAATATGATAATTCGGAGCTTATATATTATTTTTCTTTAGGGATTAAATGTTACTCTTGTTAGCAGACTTCTACATTAAATGAGGAAAGAGAACCTCGACCACTTTTTTACTTCTAGTATTTCTACATAGAATTAATAGCACTAAGTTAATTGTTATTCTGTTAATAGATATTAGGTATAATCTCTGTGAGTGTTGCTAATGTAACAAATATGAGTAAGGCAGAGACCTTCCTTCCTTTAAGGAGGCTACAGATGCTTTTCTGTCTCAGAGACTTATCTCATTGTCCACATTTTATGGTCACATATCAAATTCAGAGATTAATTAGCTTATTCAAAAAATAAACATCTTTTAATTGCCATGTACATTTCTAGGCACTTTAGATACATTAGTGAACAAAGCAGAAAATGTCCTACCTTTTATAGAATTTGACATTTTGGTGACCCTGAGAATTCTGCCTAGGAGGGGACAGTATGTTTTGTGTGCTCCAGTATATAGTATGTCACCAGACTCCTTTATTCAATTGCACACTTTTCTTTTCTAAATGAACTGAGGGTAATTTGTGTTATAGTTTCTCCATATGTATATATAGGTACCTACATACATATGCATGCATATACAGACACACTCTTTCTCTGACTTGATAGGATTATGTTGGTAACTGTATTGAAATGTATAATCTACCAGTTTTCAAATACTGTTAGATAGTATCTAGCACAGAATAGTATTTTGAGGTTCTGAAAGATTAAATATGATTCCATTTTATTCCATTTTTCATATTCTTGAAAGGAAACTTTAATATCCTATTGAGCTCACCTATTGATTTCTTTCTGGATTGTTCTTGGGTCAGGAGTTCTTGGCCCTATCTGTGACTTGTGGAAAGTGGCATAAATCAATGTGTGTCTCAAATATAAACCAGTTATATAATGATAGATATAATTTATAGGAGATATATTTATGGTAGATATGAATGATAGATATAATTTAAGATTTTTTTTAACATGATAAAAATTTCACCATAGAAAGTAGTAGCAGAAAGGACTACAGTTTGCCGTAAAGCCAATGGCATTCTTTTTTTTTTCTTTCTTTCATAGTTTATTGTCAAGTTGGTTTCTATATAACCCAGTGCTCATCCCAACAAGTGCCCTCCTCCATGCCATCACCCCGCTTCCCCTCTCCACCACTCCCACCAGCCCTCAGTTTGTTCTCAGCATTCAAGAGTCTCATGGTTTGCCTCCCTCCCTCTCCCCAACTATTTTTCCCCTTCTCCTCTCACATGGTCCTCTGTTAAGTTTTTTCTAATCCACCTTTAAGTGAAAACATATGGTATCTGTCTTTCTCTGCCTGATTTATTTCACTCAGCATGACACCCTCAAGGTCCATCCACATTGCTACACAGGGCCAGATTTCATTCTTTCTCATTGCCATGTAGTATTCCATTGTATAGATAAACCACGTCTTCTTGATCCATTCGTAAATGTTAGGAGTTACATTCAGTTATTTCCATGATGCAGCACATCTCTTTATTTGCATAGATAGTGTTTTATCCCTAAACTGTGAAAAGTAAAATAAATTTTTTTGAAAAACAGAAAATCTGATATTAGATTAAGTTTTCTCTTATGGCTTTGTAATCTCTCTCTCTCTCTCTCTCTCTATATATATATATAAAGGTGTATTTATAAACTTTATTGACAGGGTTAGAGGAAGAACAATTAAGAATAAGTATTTCTCAAACATTAATACATTAATACTGACTCCAAAACACATAGCTTATTTGTTTATGGTTATTTTATATTTTCATGTATCTTACATTTGAGAGAAGAAAATATAAGTTTGGGTGAAATTCTCTTAATTTTTTTCTCCTTGCTAGTATCGAAAATGAAAATCAAAACTTGTGGTTTATTCCTATATTTAATTACATTTTTATGTGTGGGTGATTACATATAGTTCACTTGGGAACAATTTAAGCTTAAATTGCTTTTCAGTAATCCACAGAAATCTCTGCATTATCACTTTGGATTTTAAAATGTCCTTGTTACTACTAGTTTGAACATGTAGGGGCAGTATAGTACTGTTTTTGTAAATCTTGTGTGAAATTGTGGGATTTTTGAATCGGTTAAGTAGTGTTAAAAGTTTGTTCTTCGAGAAAATGCAGCTGTATGTCTTATTTTTTAAAGAATGAATCAGGACTATTTTATTAAGTTGGAACTATTCTTTCAATTCAGCTTCTTATATATATTATACAGACCTTTTATATTAGGGAAGCTTATGATGTTGTTATATCTGAAGTCAAGGAATATGTTAAGCTAACAGGAAAAATACATTTTATAGTTAGACAACAAAATGAAGATAGGTAAAAGTTGATTTGCAAAAATATGCAAAATACCAAAATCAGTGCCATTTTGCTCTTTTTGTTTTTTTTAAAACATGGAATGCTTCATGAATTTGCGTGCCATCCCTGTGCAGGGGCCATGATAATCTTCTCTGTATCATTCCAGTGTTAGTGTACGTGTTGTCGAAGTGAGCACCAAAATCAGTACAATTTTGCTCTTATTCATCCTGTACCAGCCTTTTCAAACATGAATGTTTAACTATGAGAATCTTTTAAATAAAGTCTTAATTTTTCAGTCTAACAAGTGAACACAACTTAGATTACTAAACAGTCTTATTTTAAGATTCTTTAAGAGGTATTTTTTTCAGTATCAAAATGATTCAGGTTATTACAAAATTGATAGTTTTTTCCCACTTAAATTGATTGCACTTAAAAACTGGTTTTTTTCTTCCATTTATTCATTCAATAACTGCTATGAGTCAAGGACTGCTTTAGGCATTTGGAGTACAACAGTGAGTGAAATAGACTCAAATCTTCAACCTTCTGGAGTTTATATCAGAATAGCAGAGTGCTTAACAGCATAGATGATGGAGTCATTTAGATTTGGGATTACATTCTTAGCTTTGCCAATTGCTAATCCTCATCTGTAAAATGGAGATAGTAGAAGTACTTACTTTCATAGGGTTGTTGTAAGAATAAAATGAAATAATCTATAGAAAGTATGGTTACATAGTAAGAACTTAATAACTTACAAAGTTTACATTAACACTTTTTCAGTGTGCTGGTAAAAGTTGTAATTAATTCTCCTGATATGATAGTACTTATTTCTTTTACTTACAGTTAGTGTTTTGAATATTTTTTCATTTTTATTCAGATTGTGAAAGAAAATGCTTAGCACCAATTTTAAATAGTCATTTTTCTTAAACAATTTCCTGAATGACTGCTAATCTCTAAATGGAAAACCACTGCACGTGAAAAATTAATGTGATTTGGTTCTACTTACATTATGTGGATTCATTCAGTGTGACTATCATATATGTACAAATTAACCCCATTATGTCTTCCTAAATTAAGGTAACCTGTGCTATCTAAATATTTTGTTTTGGAGTTTCTCAGATGTTTAGAATAAATGTGTTTATTCTAAATTTAATGGTATTCTTCAATACCATTAAATTAAAACAATATCATTAAATTAAAAAGTACATATATATTATATATATATATATAATATATATATGAGAGAGAGAGAGAGATATTCCCATATTATGTTAGCTGCTAAAATGTGTAGTAAATAGTTCCCATTATGATTTTAAGCTCTGACTCCATTTCTTTCCCTAGAGGCCCCAAAATGAGTTAATTAAGAAATGGAACATACTTGTTAACATATTTGAAAACTAGCTTTTCAAAGTGGCCCCTGGTATATCGTTACCATATAAGAATTGAGACTTGAAACATTTAAGGACTTGATTCACAGGTCTTAACAAAAGTGCTTAGAAATTTAGATCTCTCTTTGGTACCCTGTGCTGATCTTAGTTCTATTTGTTTTTAATTATGTGGAAACCCCATATTTAAAACATACACATACATGCACGCACATGTGGGTGCATGCGCACACACACACACACCTACAAGCATTCCTGGGCCCCCCATACACACAAATGAAATTTTCACCCACCCCACCTCTGTTTAGTAGCTTATCTGCTGTGTTCATGCTGCAACTGCTTCACTGAGTGGAAGTGTTGTTCTGTCGTTTTCATATTAGCTTTGTTATCATGCGGTATTTTCAGCTGCTCATACTCATTACCATACAGCTGGTATGTAGAGAAGAGAAGGAAGCAAGCAGAAGTTGTACTGTCTACAAGAATAAGAAGCTCTCTTGCAGATGGGGTGCTGGCAGATGGGGCATGTGTTTGAACAGGTTTTACTAATAACAGAGTGCATTAAAAATCATTCTGAGAAAGTCCTAAGGTCAGTGCCATGATTTCAGAGCTTGAGAGGTTGTTCAGCTTTTGTAGACCTTTTTAGAATATTAATGAACTCTCATACAAAAAAGTAATAAATGGCTAACCATAACCTCATCCAAAATATTTTTTATCAGTTTTTCCTTTTTCATTTTAGTATATTTTCTCTTTAATATAATTTAAAAAGCATTGATACTATTCACTAGTGTCTCTCATTATCTTGCACTGTATTTTGTAGTCTTCAATATATTTACTTAAAATTCCCAGACTGTGGTTATATACAAAAGTATATATACTTTGAACAATGTAATAACATTCTTAAGTTTTAATATATAAAGTGCTAAAATATTTCTTAGAAGATGAAAACCAGAGAGGATTTAGAAATGCATATTTACAGTATTGACTACAGTGAAGTTTAAGACAAATTACATTCTATCACCATTCAAAGTTAGAAGTGAATGGTATGCCCCAAAATGAATCTTTTGTTAAAATTATTATGAAAGTGCTTTTCATATTCACAAAACCAAATGAAGTAGTAATGAAATAACTATCAGTAACTTTTTTTAAAGGTATTTCAGTGGGATCTTAGTCCTTTTGGCCCTTTTCATTAAGTGTAGTGTTTCTTGCTAGATCCTCTCTCAATGGGAGATCATGATAGAAAGCAACTGAAGCAAAATAAAGATAGGCTATTATATGTAAAATGCATAGTATTCAGTTTAATTTTATGAAAATGTCACTTAGTTTGTTATTCATAGAGATTAAAATATATATTGCCAAAGGTTTTTTTTTTTTAAGCAAATATTACTTATAATGGTTTTGGTAACTTAAAAACTTTTAATGCTTCAGATTTCTTGTCAGTAAAATGGAGATTCAAAAATGATCTCTTGGATAAATACCAATGAATAAATAAAATGCTAACTGAGATCTGTGGGATATGGTTTACATTAAGTGTTATTAAAACTGTGTATATTCCTTTTAATAGTAAAAGTTTATATTCTGTTGGGCATTTTTAAAGGTACAGGAAGTCCTAAACCAGGTTGGCTTTTTAACAAAGATAATTGCATTTTTGTTGTATATCAAACTGTGTATTTTCTTCCAATTTAGTTTATGCTTGAGTTGTATAACTGATAAATATCTAGAAAATTGTATTACTTTTCACTGACGGGGAAATATATGTATGTATATATATAAGATGATATAAATAATACTATATATAAATATGTATGTATATATATAAGATGATATAAATAATACTATATATAATAAATACAACAAATAATATATAAAATATGTTGTTCCCCTACATCACCTTCCTTTATATTTAGTTATATGAGCTTTTCAAATTACGCTCAAAATCAGTTTTTACAGTTATTATTTCCGTAGTTTTGTGTCATTATTGATTAAAGTGTGTGTTACATTGTTCATTATCTCATTTAAATATTATTTATTGATACCCTGATAAATGCAGGAACTATGTGAGGAACTGAGGTAAAAGAATCAAAATAGAAGTGGTCACTGCTTTCATGGAACTTACAGTTTAATAAGGGACAGGACTCATAATTAATGTGCCTACAGTGTGACCAGGCATTGGTGCAAACACTGTGATGAACAGCTTTAGAATGGGAGGAGGTGGCTCAGAGAAAGAATTTCGAGGTGGCCTATACACAGATGATTCCCATATTTTCATCTCCATTCTAGACCCTTGTTCTGAGCTCCAGAGCTAGCTGGAGCATGATATCCTCACCTGGACATCTCAGAGACACCTCAAATCAACTAGGACCAAATACGGAATTCACGGTCTTCCTACCCCAGGAAAACAAACACTGACTCTTGTCTAGTGTCCTCTCTCATGTCCCATCAGTTGCATAAGAAACCTAGGTGTCATCTTTAATAATTCCTCCTCCTTTACTTTTCAGGACTAGTCAGTCTGTCACCAGATCCTGTTAGTTTTATGTCCTAAATGTCTTATAACTGTTCACTTTTATCCATCTCTGTTGTGCCTAACTAGTCTAACCCACTATTATTTCTTGCCTGGCCTGGTGGAATAAATTCCTCACATAGTCTCTCCACATCTACTTTCACTTCCGTTCCATTTTTAATATTACATTTAGAATGATTTTTCCAAGAGGCTTATCTGATTATTTCTCTCCCTTCACTAACATCCAGCATTAGCTTTTCATTACTCTTATGGTAAAGACCAAAATCCTTTATGAGGTCTTGCATAATCTAGCCCTTATCTACTTCTCTTAGCCTCATTTTGCACTTGTCGTAGAGCCTTTATTTGTGCCTCACAGCCATTAGGAATGCCTTCCCCCCCCACGCAACACACTTTAGTCATTTCTTCAGAGGAGTCCTCTCTGAACCCCCAAACTAGGTCAAAACCTTAATATTACGCATTTTTTAAAAAAACTCTATACATTTACCAGTTTTACTTTTGCTTTGTTTTGTTTGTCTTCCTCTCTTACTACACTGTAAACTCCAGCCATGAAACTGAGACCATATTTAATTTAACTTATGTGTAATAGACACCCAAATAAATACGGTTGAATGAATATGGGAAGTTAAAAAACCATATAAATCTATATTTGTTTTAATTATGTGTCCCTGGTAGAATAAAAACAGAGATAGTTGAAACAGTGCAGGATAGAATCACAGAGATAAGCATGTATTATCAACACTGATGTTTACTCCTAGGAAGTGACAACCACACACGGATCAAACGGACATTTATTAAAGGTAGATTGGCCCTTAGGAATCGATCTATGTGTTGAAATTAAGAAACAGGGCCAAAGTGATAACTGCATTTTGAAGCATATGTCCGATATATACTTCAAAAAGTGCCCCCCAACACTACTATGTATTAATAAGTCAGGTATTTTGAATCTATTAAACTAAAAACTAAAAAATCAAGTAAAAGTCATAATTCCCTGTTAAGTGTTGTGGGTTGTAATAACCAGTAAAGAGCGTTTAAAACAATTTCTGTAGTGTTATGATATATAACTTTTGCCACTATTCTATAGTGTTCAGATCATTTGGGTAAGGGTGAAAGACTAGTAGACCTTTCAAAAGGACTTTCCAATGAGATACTTCAGTGTATTCTGTTCTCAGCTTTGTTTCATTATTTCATGTTTTAGAGATATAAAGTATAGGACATGAAGGAGTGAGGAGGGTAGGATATAGTTCTGGGGGGTGGTTAGAAAAGGAAGCAAACCCATGTATTATTGTAAGCACTGTT